ATTTCTGCCCGCTCGTAAGAAAGTTGTCTGATGCCTTTTCCTAGCCATAGTATACGATCACACCTGTTACAGGAATACCAAATACATAAAGAGGAAATACTCATCAATTGACTGAATCATGGTAATAACTTCACCCCTATACTGACTGGAAAAAGTACAAATAGTCATGAAGCTGAAGATTATTCTATGGTGTGGTCTCTCTTATTGAACTCCCCCCTACCCAACAAAAGGAAAAACAATCATGAGTGAAGGCGCAGTTTCTAAAGTTAAATAAACTGTCAATTCAACATTAGCAAGTTACCTTGACTCAAATTGACTAGTTTTGATGTTCTACAACAAATGAGAAAGTTAACTAATACTGTCCAAGTTCTTGACAACTGTCTAGTTGCACTGAAATACAAATTGGAAACATAGTCCACAGAAGCTTGAGCAACCATATTTAGTACAGTTTCTAAGCATCGATGAAATATTCAATCAGAATTTTTTTTTTAAATGTAGAAATATCATAAAAATATCAATATGACCTTGAGTGCTCATGAGTTTTCTGTTTCCTTTTCTTCTAAGCAACTAAAAGGGCAATGAACTATTCTATGCTTGGTGAAAAAAGTGATGTTGTAACAATTACAATCATGCTGGTCCCACAAAAGTTGTACTTACCATGCTGGTGATCTCTTCTTCTCTCCTTCGTTTGGGTTCTTGAGCAACCATATTTAGTACAGTTTCTAAGCATCGATGAAATATTCAATCAGAATTTTTTTTTTAAATGTAGAAATATCATAAAAATATCAATATGACCTTGAGTGCTCATGAGTTTTCTGTTTCCTTTTCTTCTAAGCAACTAAAAGGGCAATGAACTATTCTATGCTTGGTGAAAAAAGTGATGTTGTAACAATTACAATCATGCTGGTCCCACAAAAGTTGTACTTACCATGCTGGTGATCTCTTCTTCTCTCCTTCTTTTGGGTTCTCTCCAAAATATCTGTCAGAGTTTATCTCATACTTATAGGTAGGTGGAAAGTTTATCACTCCCTCCTTCCATCCTTCGAATACATGCCCACTGCGGAGTTCTTTGTTTAGCTGCACATGGAGTGATTGCATTAAACGGCAGTTCAGTTTACAAAATATTTATGCTGTTTCCTGAACTATTCATGAAGAACATTGTAGGATTTCAGAAAAAAAAAATTGAATGAATAATGTTGACACTTAGTAGTGTCTTCAGCAACCCTAAGAATTAAAATCAAATGTGAACAACTTAAGACCATAAGCTTAGACTCAAAGTTAGATCCAATATTTAGCTGCATAAGGTATCATTGAGATTTGGACGCAGAATTCCTGTATAATTGCCCGGTAAAGTGAATTCAGGTCATAAAGGTTTCATACTGAGGATAAAAATTAAATATATTGGAATGGTTGTGCAAAAAGTTCAATGATCTCACCTGATCATTGCTGATAAGTTCATCCCACCGTTTGAGAAAAATGAGCTTCCTTACATCTGCGTCTTCCATATTGAGACGATAGTTTAAATCCCCAAACCAGAAAATCTGGCTGTTCATAGAAGCACCCCAATCACATCAAATCACAGTTCACATTGGTATATTATAGATATGAAAAAGAAGAGAGAGGTTCAACCATAAAATGACAAATTGGGCAGGTTTCCTATTTTAATTGTCTACAGATCAACATAATTTATTTTTCTGTGTCCTCCACAATATTAAGTCATAACAAAAATAGATGATGGCAAAAATAAAAATAAAAATAGATGGCTTATAGTCTTATGAAGCAGCCAACTTAAACACATATAATTAAAAAGAATGTCAACTGTATGCTTACTCATGAGAGGGAATTGTCA